AGCTGATCGCATGTGCATGGCCAACCGAGACTACGTTGACACCCGCTGCAGCTTCATTAGCTGATGTCTCCCTGTCCTCACAAGGCCACTCATTGTCAAAGAAATTTTATTAGTAACGAACGAGCAAATTGTTGCTCTACGTACCTGGCTTTTCTGTCGTATGAGCAGGCCTATGGCAGTCGCAGTTCTTTCCACACAGCTGTCGTGCAAGATAATTAAATTCATATGCAATCATTGTCAAGACCCCTGGGAATTATCGCACATTGTGCCATCCGCCATTTGAAGTTACTATAAATTCCTTCGGTTCATAAGTTACGTCCCATTTCATTAGTTACCTTATTTCATCGGCTGTCACGAACCTTTGATCATAATAGCACCTGTTATGGTCCATGAAAGGCAGTCCTATTTGGATGTGTATTCGTAGTCTAAGAGAAGCTAGGATTTGTGCAGTTCAGACTAGGAAAACGTTATGATATGACCAGTCACAGCATTTAAGGATAGAAATTTGATGCCTAACTGCTTCCAGACCAGATTTCAAGGCATGAAGGACCGCTACGTTGCCTTGAACTGCCTCTATGTAGCTTTAGCGAACAAAATAATGCGCGATGCATCTACGCCTGAGCGCATATCCATGGAATAATCTTTCGGTAGATGATTTTGACCAAACATTTCATTGCATCAGCACCGTTCCAGAGCCAACACAAGCTTTCTGATTAATGTAAGTATATCCGACGTAGGTGCTTGCAGTTCGAATAACAAAATGCAAAATGTCACTCATCACTTGGACCACTTGAACAGGTCAGTCACTAGCGAAACGTGGCGCCGGCCGCACCACGCTCGTCATTCCTCAGGATTTCGAGGTTTCCCCTCCAAGCGCCGCCTTCCCGACTCCTGACAATCCTCCCGCGAAAGTACGAGTGAATGATCATCTTTGACCATCCCTTATCGGTGAGTCGAGGCAGGTGTCCGGCACACCGTAACTTTCTTTTACCGGTGTCAAAGAAAACCTCCTCAACTCCCGTCCTCTCTCTGGAAACTGTGTGGGGAAGGTATCACGAGGTGAAATTCCCTATATTCTTCTTTCCAAGGCTCCCTTTGTGATAGACAGCTGGCGCTCTTCCGTTTAATTGAGTGACCGCGTCTCACATCCATAGGAAGTTTCCAGCTCAACGTAGACTTGAAGAAGTTGGCACAGAATTCTGTCCTGATGCTGATGAAGAGGATATTCTTGATTAAATGGAACTCGCGCCAACATGCCTCTATTTGCGTTGATTGTTATAAGCCTGAACATGGCGCATGCTGATCATTTGGCCGTGGCAAATGTATTGATCGCCTTCTTCGATCGTTTTGCCCTTTAAAATGAACTGGGCCTACGGCAGGGCATCCGATCGCAGTATCTTCGACTCCGATTGATTGTGGTTCGAATTTTGCACTTTTTTCTCGAGCTCTTGCAGCAGGCCTTGTAGTCAATGACGTTTACCGTAAACAGTACCAAGTCATCAGCAAACCTTATGTTGCTTACCTGTTCACCATAACATTAATTAAACCATTCCAGTTAATGCTTTGGAACATCCTCTCCAAACAGGAAATAAAGAGTGTGAGAATAATGATGGTTCCTTGTTTCGTAGCCTTTTGGAAACACGGGAAACTGAAGAGGGCGTCGAAGAGCGTAATGTTTGTGAAGTAGTTCGAGTTCGCTTCCTTTAGCAGTTTCAGGCAACAGGTACAGGTGTCGATGCACTGTTCTGACAGTACAGTCCATACTGCTTTGTACTCGACATGTTAAAAACAGACCGACTGGCGAAATGGAATGACCAGCGGAGTTATGCGTGGACTAACTCATATGGTTGTGAGTGAAACAGTCTGTAAATGAGTGGGTCAGATAACTAAGCGCTCCGTATTCAAGTCATTCATTATTTGTAAGATTACATGTGATCTTTAATCGAACGATTTCTCGTAGTCGACAGGGCTATGCACAGAGGAGGCTGATATTCCTTTGTAGGTATGAACAATTGATTCTAAATTATTTGCGGATTTATGCTAAACACAGTGTCCCAAAGGGTTCCACGAAGGCTGACTATTAACGTGAACGGAAGTTTTATGACTAACGGGTTGTAATTATTCCTGGCCAGAACAGGACAAAGTGTCATGTTATCTCCCCTATTGACAACGTGATGCTTCTTTAGCTGAAATGTTAAGTTATGGCACTTGAAAATCTTCGGATGTCTGCTTCTCGCCTTACTGTATTAAAGCCGCCGTTTCAACATTTTTCGACCCCTTTTTAAATATCGGCGAAAGTGTCTCGCCGCGGGATTCTTGCAACCTATGGAATGTCTTTTCGGTTTTCTGGACAGAGAATCGATCAGCTATTTTGATGCTCTTAACACGTTGTCATTTCTGCAGCATATTAATTAACTTTGTTCGACCTTTCCGGCTGTTGCGGAGTTACGTTACGGCTGATTGGTCGATTAGTCACTCGCATCAGGTGATCTCATGCCATGCTTTCATTATTGCCGCTGTTGCGTGAGAACTCATTGTGAATTGTAAAAAATCATCAATCGAAGTATAATCGTTAAAAATTCATATCGATGCCATTTGTCTGCAGCTGAAACACGGCCGGCAGCAGCACGGTGGCTCTACCAGCATGTTCGAATGAGTGACGACGCCGAAAGAATTTTTGCATGAACCTCACAAACAATTACAGGGTATTTAATTGCTTCTGCTAGAAGCTGTTTCACATTACTGGATTAAATGTCCTACAGTCCCATAGTTTTTACTCTTGCATTCCTTCTGCATCAACTGCGGATCTTTCGTTTGTCGTCTCCCATTCTCCTTCTGTCCTTGCATGAAACACAAGGTATAAAACCGCATATTATGAGACCAAATAAGAATACGCGAATACAGAAAATTTTTTAAGCCGCAAAATACACAAAGTTTTGATAATTCATTCATAACAATGCATGAATTAAGATGTTGGCATGGTGCTGAGTTCCCATTGGACAAAAGTCATAAAGTAACTCACCTTCAAGGTTAAAACCACAGTCTTACAGAATCTACCTGATTGCACCAGTTTATACTCTAACATTCTGTTTTATAACATATCTCTTCATGGAGCCATTTCGAGCACGATCCTCAACATTGGACAGTACGTATCTAGTGCATTCGAGATGAGGTGTTGACTCGCAAAGGACTGTATGCTATGAACACCTTCGAGGTAGACTAGTATAGAGAAGCTTATGCACAGAAATCGATGATCGATTTGATGATCGCATCATCTGGCTGAATTAAAAACAATAATGGACGTTCGCGTTATGAAAAAAGCAGAGCTGTCCACCGATCACCACCTTGTTGTTAGCAACCTCTCCTGCAAACGATGGAATACCATGCGATGACCTGACGGCAGAATCAACCGGAGGATCAAATGGGAATTATTATCCTGTGTTAGAACGAGAACAAAACTTCCAAACGACATCGCATGACGGTTTAAACACATCACCCAGAATATGGGCTGTCGTAGAAACTGATTGGGATCCCGTTGAAACCCATTCGAGGCTGCCGCCGAATGTTGCGGATACAAACGGGTTGGCTTGTCGCCTGGAGGTCCGAAAAGGACCTTCTGGTGGACATGAGAGATACAGCTGGCAGCTACAGAGAAGGCTGCATTCAAGAAATGACTTGGAAACAATTAGAGAGCCATCTGCTCGCGTACAATATGTCGAAGCACTCAAGGCAACAGCGAAAACAGTGGCGAAAGCCAAAACTGATTCCTGGGAGATATGTTGGCTGAGGTGTTGGAATCGAATTTCCAAACGGCAGACAAAGTATTCAAACCATACGCCGGCTCTGAAGTGAAAAGAAGGACAGCGTAAGAGTCTTAGAGAACAAGTCTGGACACCCTCTTACTGAGGATGAGGACATTCGTAGACAATGGGGAAAGTGCTGTGAGGAACCCTGAGCAACTGGAGGAGGACTCGACTATAGAGCAGAGCAGAGAATGGATATTACTATCTCTGTAGAAAGCTATGAAAAGCTTGAAAAACGGAAAGGCTGCTGGAATTGATGAAATCCGCCCTGCAATGCTCAAGGCATTAGGCGAACAAGGCATGTGC